GAGTCTCCTGCCTCAGCCTCCCAAGTAGCTGGGACCACAGGTGCCTGCCACAATGCCTGGCTAGTTTTTTTTTGGTTGCAGCTGTCATTGTTATTTGGCAGGTTGGGCTGGAGCCCATCTTCAAATTTCTTAAATACCCCCTGGTGCAGGGGGTCCTTACTGCTTTTTCACTGAAAGCTGCTCCTTAAAGTGCTGCCTGCTCCAGTAGAGTCACAGAGTCAGAGTGAGAAGGGCCTTTGAAATCATCAATTTTGTACAGTGGCATTCTTTTTCTTTTGAGACAGAGTCTCACTTTGTCACCCTTGGTAGAGTGCTGTGGTGTCATAGCTCACAACCCTCAAACTCCTGGGCTCAAGCAATTCTCTTACCTCAGCTTCCCAAGTAGTTGGGACTATAGGCACTTACCACAACACCCTGCTATATTTAGAGACGGGGTCTGGCTCTTGCTTAGGCTGGTCTTGAACTTCTGAGCTCAGGCAATCCACCCCCCTTGGGTTCTCGGAGTGCTAGGATTATAGGCATGAGCTACCATGCCCAGCCCCAGTTGAGTGGCTTTTAAAAAACCCAAACATTTCAATAGAATTATTATTATTATTATTATTTTGAGACAGAATCTAACTATGTTGCCCTGGGTCGAGTGCTGTGGTGTCATAGCTCACAGAAACCTCAAACTCTTGGGCTCTAGATTCTCTTGCCTCAGCCTCCCAAGAAGCTGGGTCTACAGGCACCCACCACAACGCCTGGCTATTTTTTGGTTCTAGTTGTCATTGTTGTTTGGCAGACCCAGGTTGCATTTGAACCCCCCAGTTCCAGTGTATGCAGACGCCAGCTCTGGTATATGTGAGTAGCACTGTAGCTGCTGGGCTACAGGTGCTGAGCCTGAATGATGTTTTTCAATGTGTTGTTGATTTTGGTTTGCCAGCTTTTTTTTTTTTTTTTTTTTTTTTGAGACAGAGTCTCCCTCTATTGCCTAGGCTAGAGCTCTGTGGCATCATAGCTCATAGCAACCTCAAACTCCTGGGCTCAAGCGATCCGATTGCCTCAGCCTCCTGAGTAGCTGAGACTACAGACACCCACCACAACGCATGGCTGATTTTTCTATTTTTAGCAGAGATAGGGTCTTGCTCTTGCCCAGGATGGTCTTGAGCACCTGAACTCAGGCAATTCACCCACCTTGGCCTCGTAGAGTGCTACGATTGCAGATGTGTGCACCATACTTGGCCAGTTTACTAGTTATTTTGTTGAGAATTTTGTATCCATGTTCAACAGTGATACTGGCCTGTAGTTTTCTTTTGTTATGTTCTTGTCTGGTTTTGGTATCAAGGTAATGCAGGCCTTGCAAAATGAATTTGGAGGTATTTCCTCCTCTTTAATTTTTTTTCTGTAGAGACAGAGTCTCACTTTATCGCCCTGGGTAGAGTGCCATGGCATCACACAGCTTACAGCAACCTCTAACTCCTGGGCTTAGGCAATTCTCTTGCCTCAGCCTCCCGAGTAGCTGGGACTACAGATGCCCACCACAATGCCTGGCTATTTTTTTGTTGTAGTTTGACCAGGGTTGGGTTTGAACCCAGCACCCTTGGTATATGGGGCTGGTGCCCTTCTCACTGAGCCACAGGCTCTGCGCCACAATCCTACTCTTTATCTTTGTGAGATTCACTTTTAAAGCTTCCAATATGAATTTGTCTTTATGTTCTTATTTCACTTAACACAATGATCCCCAGTTCCATTGTGTTGCTGCAAATAACAGGCTTTTCTTTTTTCAGGCTTACTAGTATTCCATTGTGCATATATATCCATTCATCTTTTGATGGATCAACTTAGTTGATTCCATATCTTGGCAATTGTGAATAGAGCTGCAGTAAATATGGGGGTACAGATATCTCTTTGACATACTGACTTCATTTTCTTTTTTTTTTTTTTTTT